CGATAGCAATGCCGCTCATAGAAATTTTGAAATCTACCTAATTCTACTAGAATGAAGCAGCTCAAGCCAGTTTTGATCAGCTCAAACAGAGGGTTGCTAGTGCACCAGTATTGGCTCTACCTAATTTTCAACAAATTTTTCAAGTTGAATGTGATGCCTCGAATGTTGGAATAGGAGCTGTGTTGAGTCAGGTGGATCACCCTGTAGCATTTTTCAGCGAAAAACTTAATGATGCTCGGTGCAAATATTCAACTTATGATAAAGAATTTTACGCCATAGTTCGTGCACTGTGTCATTGGGAGCACTATTTGCTTTCGAATGAATTCGTGTTATATTCCGACCATGAGGCTCTCTGTTTTCTTAATTCACAAAGCAAATTAACAATGTCGTGCGGCTTGGGTCGAATACATTGCTGCCTTTCATTATGTTCGCCACCAACAATCGGGCAAGAATAATCAAGTTGTCGACGCACTTAGTCGAAGACTTATGCTGCTTCAAACCTTGCAAAGTCAAGCAGTGGGCTTTGAAATACTACAGGAGTCTTATGAATCGGATCCTGACTTCAAGGAAATTTGGCAACGGTGCAAGCAGGGCTCGTTCCATTTGTATCATGTAGAAAAGGGAAATCTGTTTTTAGGAAACAGATTATGCATTCCTCAAGGTTCTATTCGTTTGAGCTTACTAAATGAATGACACACGGGTGGCATGGCAGGACACTTTGGGCGAGACAAGACTCTTATCCTAGTCATAGAACATTTCTTTCGGCCAGGACTCAATAAAGATGTGGCCAAATACATTAAGCAATACAGGGTCTGTAAATTGGCGAAGATGCAGGATCAACGAACTGGCTTATACACGCCACTTCCGGTACCAGAATCCCCGTGGATAGATATTAGCATTGATTTCATACTTGGCCTCCCACGAAGATGCAAGACCTTATATGCCACTCATGTGGCTGATCTGTATTTCAGAGAAATCGTTAAACTCCATGGTATTCCTCGGACAATAACATCTAAAAGGGATGTAAAATTTCTCAGTCATTTTTGGAGGACCCTAAGGGGAAAATTGGGAACGAGATTGCAGTTCTCGTCCACCGCTCATCCTCAAACTAACAGTCAGACTGAGACCATGAACCATAGCCTGGGAAATCTCCTCAGGTGTTTCGTGGGAAAGAATATTAGGCAATGGGATCTAATCCTACCACAGGCCGAATTCACCTTCAACAGATCTACGAATCAGTCAACCAAGAAGAGTCCCTTTGAGGTGGTATATGGTACTAACCCACTTTCACCAATTGATTTGATTTCACAGGTCCCATCAACTGCTTATAGCCTAGATAGAGAGCAACGGAGCAAGGTTATCCAACAATTGCATAAACAAGTGCAAGACTTGATACATAGAAGCACTTCAAAGTATAAAGCTTAAGCAGACAAATCTCGCCGAGTTCAACGCTTCCAGGAGGAAGAACTTGTTTGGATACGTCTACGAAAAGAGCGTATGCCTCACCGCACCTTCAGCAAGCTACGACCAAAAGCAGATGGTCCTTTCCGTGTAATCAAGCGCATTAATGACAATGCATACCAAATCGATTTACCGGGCGACTACAATATCTCTGCTACCTTTAAAGTCGCCAATCTTAGCACCTATTATGAGCCTGACGTTCCTCCTACCCCAGGAGAATGACGTCAGAGTGCTTGTTATATTAAACTAATGATGCTATTAGTAGTTAATAATTATTTTCTTTTAATTTCTTTGCTAGTAAGCGGTGATGTATAAATAAGTCCTGGTGACACTAATAAATCACTTTGTTGGAGTTTGTATTCACTTCTTGTCCATTATGTCCTGTATCCTGAGACATCTCAGGTGGTGGTGTCCGATTTAGTTCGTAAGAAGGAGAGTTTCAACTTCCTTGCCTGGAGCGGCGTTAAGATGTATTAGAGCTAGCCTATGTTAAGAATGGTAGAGGTAGACCTAAAAAAAATTGGTTAAAAAGTATTAAAGATGCCCTTTGTTTATTAGATTTAACTGAGAATTTGGCACTTAATATGACACAATGGAGAAAAAGAATTCATGTAGCTGACCCACGTAGTGGCATGAAGTCATGATGTTGTTGTTGTTGTTGTATGGGGGGAAATGACATATGAGACTTATTAGAAAACTCTTTATCTTTCCACCCTCTGCGTCAACTAAAATTCAAGTCTCCTCTTTTGCATCAATGTAACCACTTTTTGTATTTGATATTGAATTAAGTTTTGACAGTGAAGATATATCCCTCCCTTGCACCCTCTACCCCCACATCCTATACCCACAACCCACTCTCACTTCATCGCTCTCAAATGCATCAAACAAGCTTCAATCCTGCTTCTAAAAGGGTTTTTCCATTCAAAGCAGTAGCTCAGCTGATTAGTTCTGTAATTATGAACCCATCATAAAAAGGATTCATCCATCAGTCAGATCTTTAAACATTGGTTCCAGCCGAGAGATGTCCGCTCGGTTGGCCTTTAAAGACGTCGAAGAGCGACGATCGAGAGCGGGATTCATGCAGGAATTGCGGAGACGCGACGCAAGCGGCGCCGACTCAGCGTAACCTCGGCAGGATTCGTGGACCCGATGGCTTATAGGTATTTCAATTACTTTTTTTTTGTTCTGTTGGTGAATACCTGGAGGTCAACAGTGCTATGCGAATGCAAAGCATATAGCAGATAGCCCTCATAATGCTTACTAATTTAATTTTGATAATATAGTATGATAGATTTAAGAACAAGTTTTTTTTTTCCTCTAATAGTTCCCACACACACCAAACCCTTACCCCGTTAATTAAAATAGAATCTCACACCCATGACATCGCCTCACTTGGCTCATTAGGCTAGGGCATCATCTCATTCGGACAATCTCGACCACGCATGCGCTCCTCCGATCTCATCTTGGCCACATGGTTTCAACCACACACGCACAGTTGTTGCACTATCTAAGGTGTATAGCTGCCACTTGATATTGATCCCACTCAGTCAGGGCATCACGCACAACAAGTCAACTTATCTTCAGCACACAGTCGCAAACCATGTCTTCCTTGCGCAACAGGCCACACGCCTCATCTTCCTCTCATAACAGTCGCATGTCGTATCTTCTTCAATGAATATATCCTTTCTCGCAATTGACATTGACTTTGCTATTTTCAATTGTATTTTGTTATTCACAACTTTCCAGTGTACACTAATTATTATTAGTTACTGTGTCATTATTAGATATTAAAAAAATGTCGAATTTAGGTTCAAACTGCACTTAAACTTAAGTGGTTAAGGTGTTAAGCACTTGATATTAAGCATTATATTTGATGATTTTATTATGATAATGGTTTATATTTTAATTTAATAATGTTTCATATTTATCTGCATTTTGATTCAAAATTTTTTATTTGTGTCATGTCCAAAATGGTGCAAACCGCACTGTGGGCAATGCACTATGGCTCTAGGGGGACCTTTGTGTTATGATATAATATTCGTCGTTAACAAGTATAGTCCAAGGGCTAAATTGGGATCCATTTCGTATCCCAATTTCCATCAATTTCTACGTGAGGGACAATTTGGGATCAATTTAGCATAGTTAAAGGACTAAATTGGAGAAATGTGATACTCTAGGACAAAATTGATGGCATATAAATAGTTGGAAACTATTTTTGGCTTTTTCTCAAATAAGTTAAAAAGATCAATTTATTTGGTTGAAATAATATAAGACTATAAATTTCATGAGCTATATAATTCTTACTCCCTACGATCCCCCTCTCTCCCCACACCAAGTGAGTATGAGGAGAGGTGCAATAATATACACCGCATCCCACTCCACCACTAATCTTCATTCGCATTGATTAGATGAAGAGTGGTAATCACTATCTTTTTCTTTCCAACCCCTACCACTCCCTCTCTATTATTCCCTCCACATCAAGTTTCCTTCCCTCTATCCATATTTTTAGTGTGCATGTGGGTAGCTCCAATGATAGATAAGATTGGAGAGAGTCACCTTAGATGGTTTGGTCACATAAAACATCAGCCTTCCCATGTTATGAGAGTAGATGTATTAAAGCTGGCCTATATTAAGAATGGTAGAGGTAGACCTAAAAAGACTTGATTATAAAATATTAAAGATGCCCTTTGTTTATTATATTTAAATGAGAATTTGACACTTAATATGACACACACTTAATATGACACAATGGAGAAAAAGAATTCATGTAGCCGACCCACATAGTGGCATAAAGCCTTCATGTTGTTGTTGTTGTATGGGGGGAAAGGACATATGAGACTTATTGAAAAACTCTCTCTCTTTCCACCCTCTGCATCATCTAAAATTCTCGTCTCCTCTTTTGCATCAATGTAATCACTTTTTGAAGTTGATATTGAATTAAGTTTGACTGTGAAGATATATCCCTCCCTTGCACCCTCCACCCCCATCCTATACCCACATCCCACTCTCACTTCGTCGCTCTCAAATGCATCAAACAAGCTTCAATCCTGCTTATAAATGGGTTTTTCCATTCAAAGCAGTAGCTCAGCTGATCAGTTGTGTAATTATGAACCCATCATAAAAAGGATTCATCCATCAGTCAGATCTTTAAACATTGGTTCCAGCTTCTTCAGAAAATAAAAAAAAGATATAAAATGATCTCAGCAACCTTTTTGCCAAAATTAGAACCTAATAATGGAATTTAGCGACCAAAACTATCACATACTAAGGTAAAAAAATGTAGCAAAGAAGTTTAGACAGAAGAAAAGAGCCTCAAATGTGTGTATGAGCATTCAAAAGTAAACAAGACACCAAAAACAACGAATCCTGATGAACAATTTCAGGACAAATTTGGAATAAGTAAATGTATGGAGAATGCTGCATATATTTCTTTAGGAAAAAAATTTATGCATCAAGAAATCAAACTAACTAGAAAAGGAAGTAAACATGTACTATTTGATCAAGCAGAGAAGGCACAATGGTAGAAACTGATCACATACGACTGATTTTTCCATTGGTTCCACATCAAGATAAGGAGCAAGTTCCTCAGCAGTAACAACACCACCGTTTGAAGAAATATATTGTCCAATCTGCCAAAAAGAAAGATTCTATGATTCAAAAACCTTTTCTATAAAACAAAATTCAAGGGTAATATGAAGAAAGACGAGCATTTATGAGGAAGGAGACATATAAGTCTTGTTAGCAATTAACTAATTGATCCTTACCAAAAATCAGTAATAAAACTTCTTGGTAATCATTGATGTCATCAATAACCTCAACTGCACTGCCTATACATTTCATGGCATCCTCATATCTTCACATGCCCCCGTCCAAAGCACCAGTCATGTTCATGTTAGTCAAAAGGAAGCCACACGCTATCCCCATCCCCCACTACCATCAAAATAGCTACCAACACACCTTCATTGCATCATCATCTTCTCAACTGCCCCTTATCTAAGCACTAGTCAGGTTCAAGGTAATCAACTTCCACTCCAATGTGTCCTCAGCATCATAAACCTCTGCCCCATCCTTGGCACTTCTTCACTCTCATGTTCCCAGTTTTCCCTTTATCCGTTTACACATCCATAGAACTTTCTTGACTTATTTTCCGTCTTCTTTTTCTCAGCTTACACAGCTACTTTCATCATTAAACAGCAAATGTCTTAACCTCTATCTGTACCCCTCCGGCCCAACCCTCATCCATGGTTACCAGTTTGTTTCTTCATGTTCATCTATGATTATCTTTTTCTTTCTATAACTTCATTTCTCTCTCCCTCACCCACTCTCCCCTCTGAATTTTTTCAACCCTTTACTTATCCTACTCCAATTTCTAGAATTCCTGATAGGAAATACTTGAGTTCGCAAGCAATCCTATTGGATTTACTTAAGTTCGCAAGAAAACCTAGTCAATAATTAGTAAAACAGCGAGAGAACAAAAGAATCGAGGTGGAAGAACAAACAAACGATGGCAAAATCTTATAACAATCAACGGGAAACAAGAACAAAGCAAAGACACAAAAGATCCTCAATTCGAGAGGAGGATCGTCTCTCCCAAATCTCTAGACAAGATTGTCAAGAGCCCAAGCCTCCAAGAAATCCTAATTGCAATCAATCAAAACATAATATTTCCCTAATCCTCCTCATCCTCTTTAAAACAAAACTTTCTTAATTCATTTTCCCTCCCAAAGCCCTAGCCGCCCCCCTCTATTGAAATTTGAATTCATGTAGATGGGTGGGACCCATCTACTTGGGCGGACAAGATAAGGGAGGCGGAACTACTGCCTCCTATAAACTTGAGCCGGCCTTTAGGCTGGCTCAGCCGGTTCACGGCAGCATAACATTACCGCCCTCCCAAAGAATCACCTTGTCCTCAAGGTGAAAACCCGAAAACTGCTGTTTCACCCTCTCGTATGGCTCCCACATGGCCTCGTAGCCCGGAAGGTTCTTCCACTGGATCAACACTTCCTTAATTCCATCTTCTTTTTGGCGAACCCCCATCAGCTCTAAGGATTCCAGAACCACCTCTAAATCCTCAGTAAGTGTCGCCGGTAGCTCGGGTTGGTTGTGTAGTCACCAATAGCCTTTCTCAACTACGAGATGTGAAAAACCAGGTGTATAGTCACCGTTGGGTGGTAATTTCAGTCGATATGCTACTGCCCCAATCTTATCCAACACTTCATAAGGCCCAAAGTACCTTGTAGCCAGCTTTTCATTCATCCTGTTGGCGACTGTCCTCTGTCTATATGGTCGGAGCTTCAAGAACACCCTCTCCCTCACTTCAAACTGGATCTCCCTCCTATGCCCATCAGCTTGTTTCTTTATAATTTGTTGGGCCCTCAGCAGTTGTCTCTTTAGTTCTCCTAACACTCTATCCCTCTCCTCCAAGTACTCCTCAACTGAGAAAACTGGGGTGCTGCTATTCCCAAAGTGTACCAAGTGGGGAGGATCCCTTTCGTACAACACCTTGAATGGAGTCATCTAAGAAGCAGAGTGAAAAGAGATGTTGTACCAGTACTCGGCCAATGATAGCCATTTAGCCCAGAGCTTGGGTGTCTCTAATACGAAACATCTCAGGTAAGTCTCCAAGCTCCTGTTCACTACCTCTGTTTGGCCATCCGTCTGTGGGTGGTAAGTTGTACTCCTCTTCAGGACTGCTCCCTGCAGCCTGAACAACTCTCTCCAAAAATGGCTGAGGAATACCTTGCCTTTGTCTAATACGATCTCCTCGGGTACTCCATGTAATCGGACCACCTCCCTGATGAAGGCTGAAGCCACTGTCACTGCTGTGTAAGGGTGCCGGAGGGGAATGAAGTGTGCATACTTGCTCAAACTGTCCACCACCACCAAAATCACTGTGAACCCTTCTGAATGGGGCAACCCATCTATAAAGTCCATGGATATCTCCTCCCACACTATTCCCGGTAGAGCTAACGGCTGTAGTAATCCTCCTGGTGACATAGACAGGTACTTTTTTTCAATTGGCAGATCTCACATCTGGCTATCATCTCCTCTACATCTTTATGCATCCCTTTACAGTACAGTTACGCATCAAACCTCTTGTATGTCTTATGTACGCCTGAATGGCCCCCCACTGTGCTTCCATGAAACTCCTGGAGTAAGTTTGGGATGCGGATCGAGGTCCAGGGCATCACAAATCTCCCCTGGTAAAGCAGTTTGTCTCCCTCCAATGAGTATCCTGGGTGGCTACCCCCTTCTTTTAGTAACTCTAACCTGATCTTTTCCAACCCTTCATCTCTAGCACTTTCCTCTCTGATGACTTCCCAGTCAAGCATCAGAGGAACATATAGTGCCACGGCCAGCAGCTTCCCCATACATCTGGACATGGCATCTGCCACCTTGTTCTCCACTCCTGGTCTATACTGAATCTCAAAGTCGTACCCAAGCAACTTGGACAGCCACCTTTCTCTATCACCATTCATTGTTCCAACAAATATTTCAAACTATGCTGATCTGTCCTGACAATGAAATGTCTCCCAAGTAAGTAGGGTCATCACTTTTGAATGGTCAGAATGATGGTCATCAATTCTTTCTCATAGACTGACTTCAGTCTGGCTATAGCAGTCAAAACTTGGCTGAAATAGGCAATGGGCCTACGATTCTGCATAAGCACTGCACAAAGCCCGTATCCGGACGCATCCATCTCCACAATGAAGGTCTGAGTGAAAACTGGCAAGGCGAGGACCGGTACCGTAGTCATCGCCTTCTTCAGGCTCTCAAATGTGGTCGCCTCCCCCCATAAGAATTCGTCCTTCTTTAGCTGTTCAGTGAGAGGTCATGCTATGGTGTTGTACCCCTTTACAAATCTTCTGTAATAACCTGTCAGTCCTAGAAATCCCCTGAGCTCCTTCAAAATTTTCGACACTGGCCACCTTAACATTGCCTCAATTTTAGACTGATCTGCTGTCACCCCTTCTTTTGACACAACATGGCCCAAGTACTCCACACTGACTTGTGCGAAGCAGCATTTATTTAAGTTGGCTCTCAGCTGGTGCTCCTACAGTACTTCTTGCACCATTTTCAAATGCTCTCAGTGCTCCTCCATCTGGCTATAGACCAAGATGTCGTCAAAGAATACCAGTACGAGATAAGGTTTGAAAACCATATTCATAAGGGCCTGGAAAGTAGCGGGGGCATTGGTGAGGCAAAAATGCATAACCAAGAACTCATAATGTCCCTCATGAGTTATAAAGGCCGTCTTGGGCACATCCTCCTTCATCCGAATCTGATGGTAACCCGATTTCAAGTCTATCTTGCTGAATATCATTGTTCCAATCAATTCATCTAGCAACTCATCAATAACTGGTATAGGAAACTTGTCAGGTACAATTTCCTTGTTGAGTGCTCGGTAGTCCACACAAAAACACCAACTGTCATCCTTCTTTTTACCAATAGAACCGGACTAGAGAATAGACTAATGTTGGGTCTGATGATCTCTGCCTCCAGCATCTCTCTAATCAACATTTCTATTTCATCCTTCTGAAACTGAGGGTAACAATAAGGACGTACACTGATGGGCGACACTCCCTCCTTCAACATGATGACATGCTCCTACTCCCACTGCAGTGGCAATCCCTGAGGTGGCTGAAACACCTCTTGGAACTACTGAATCAACGGCTGAATGGAGAGGGGTATGTTTCCTCTCTCCTCCAATCTCGCTCCCTCCAAATTGTGCAGCTCCACCAAATACCCTCCGCCTGCCAACTGAATGTCCCTCATCATCGTTTTAAGAGAAACCAGGGATTTGGAAAGCCCCGCATCTCCCTTAATCACTACCTTTCTTCCATCCACCATCAACTCCATCGTGAGTGCTCCACAACTCACTTTGGTGTCTCCCAAAGTTTGCAGTCATTTCATCCCCAGGATGACGTCCGTGCTCCCAAGCTCTAGTGGAAGAATGTCTTCCCTCACATGTATCCCCTGGATCGTCAGTCGCACTCTGCAAATCCCCTGAACTTTCTCCACCTTCCCCGTACCCATCATCACTCCGTAACAGCCGGTGCCCACCAATCTCACTCACAGTTTGTCGAAAACCTGGGTGGAAATGAAATTGTGAGTAGCCCCACTATCAATCAACACCATAACCTCCTTATCCTCCATCTCCCCCTTCACCTTCAAGGTGTGATTCGTGGTGAATCCTACCACTGAGTTCAGAGAAACCTCAGCCAGATCCAAGTGTAGCTTCTCCTCCATCTCCTCCTCTGACTCCTCACCCCCCCCCCACAGTTTCCTCGTCATCACAGAGGGTGAGAACTTGAAGAGTTCGATCCTTGCAACGATGTCGTGACGTGTACTTTTCATCGCACCTGAAGCACAACCCTTTATCCCTCTTCTCCTGCATCTCTTTCTCTGTCAACCACTTGAAATTTCCCCCGCTTCCTCCTCCTATCTTCTCCTTGGTGGCCTCTGGACTCCCTCCTGTTGCAGGACTTTAAGGTGTCAGATGAGTAGTCGTCATCCTGTACGTGCCCTCGGTGCTGCTACTCCGGGCTCCCCTCTTCAAATTCCTCTGATTTTCCACCAATTGGGCCAACTTTATGGCCTCCCTCAAACCACGGCGCATCAAAACCTTCACTAGTGCTCGGATCTCCGCCTTCCGCCCTTTCATGAAATTTCCCTCCAATATTGTATTTGAGAGTCGCTCCACCCTGCTAGCTAGGTGCTCAAATTACTCCTGGTAGTCTGCTACCGATCCCTCCTGTATCAAAGCAAAGAACTGCTCATAGAAATCTCCTCCCCGGTCAGTTTGGAAATGTTCTATTATGCAGTCTTTGAATTCCCTCTAGTTCCTTATAAGTCTCCACTGATACCACGACAGGGCTTTTCCTTCTAAACACAATCAGGCTGCGGTCAGCTTCTCCTCCTCTGTCAGCCCATTGACGGCGAAGTATCGTTCCACCTTGTAAATCCATCCATACGCATCTTCTTCTTTGAAGATGGGCATCTTCAACTTTCTCACCTTCTGGTCGCCCCCGTTTCCACGAATTCTTCCATTGTTTCCCCTCTCCCAAGTGCTAGGTGCACCCCATGTCTCCCGGTCTTCCCTTGCTCTACCATAGCCCAAATCCCCTTCGAAATCCCCTCTTCTTTCTTCAAAATCAGCACCTAGGCGGTCATAGCATCCCTCTTGGCGTTCTCCATATCCACCTCTTCTTTCCTCCCTCTAGACAGGCTCCAGATGGGGTCTTCTTCCTACTCCTTCCATGATTTCCACCTCATCTTCCTCCCTACGAATTTCAGAATTCGTACTTTTTCCTTCCTTCCCTTTTGCCACTGAAGCCGCCATTTGATTTTGAATTTCTAACATATTCTTCATCACGTCTCATAGATATGCGACTTGTCCTTCCATGAAGGAAATCCTTTCCTCCACCGTCGTTTAGATTTGATTCATCTCCCCTTTAAGCCTTTCCTCCATAACATCAACTTTTTTGCCGCCATCACACTCTGGAGTTTGTAAAATCACAAATTCTGGATTTAGAACTCCAAAAACAGCAATCCCCCCTCCTTCCGGGCAAATAATCACTGTTGAAATTTGCTGAAATCAGCCCTCCACCAGTCCCACGACTTGCTCTAATACCAATTTGATAGGAAATACTTGATTTCGCAAGCAATCCTATCGGATTTACTTCAGTTTGCAAGCAAACATAGTCAATAATTAGTAAAACAGTGAGAGAACGAAAGAATCGAGGTGGAAGAACAAACAAACAATAGCAAAATCTTATAACAATCAACGGGAAAAAAGAACAAAACAAAGGTACAAGAGATCCTCAATTTGAGAGGAGGAACGTCTCTCCCAAATCTCTATACAAGATTGTCTAGAGCCCAAGCCTCCAAGAAACCCTAATTACAATCAATCAAAACATAATCTTTCCCTAATCCCCCTCATCCTCTTTAATACAAAACTTTCCTAATTTATTTTCCCTCCCAAAGCCCTAGCCTCCCCCCTCTATTGAAATTTGAATTCATGTAGATGGGTGGGACCCATCTACTTGGGCGGACAACATAGAAGAGGCGGAACTAGTCCGCCTCCTATAAACTTGAGTCTGCCTTTGGGCCGGTTCACAGTGAACCGGCGGCATAACAATTCCCTTGCTTGATTTCTCTCTTTATCCCTTCCTCTCCCTCTACTTTCTCACAACTCCCATCTCTAAGGGTCCCTGTAGAAAGATAAAGGGTAGCATGGGAGGAAACCTATATTTGCTTTCCCTAATGATGGATCCCGTATAGAAAATAGAACTGCTTCAACAAATGTTTCCTTGACAAAAAACATAACTGTGATCAATGGCTGGTACGAAATTTCAATGACACTACATCATGCCGAGACTAAGATGTTTGCGAAGAATGAGAGATCCCAGTAGATGTCATTCAAGCAACACAATATTGTAGCTTCAAAATTCTCATCTAAAGAAAAATAATTTTAAAAATGATAACATTAGGACATTTGGAATTCGTAGTTTTGTAGGCATAAAAATATGAAGCAGAATTTTCCATTGAATCAGCATTGGTGGAAATGAAAACAGACAAAGCAAACATCTTAGTTTTGTTGAAACACAAAAATACCACAATAGTTTTATTTCATATCAATTTCTCTATTAAGCTTCTTAACTCTTTGGACTTTGCATGCAATGATCATATCCCTAAGTAATATTAGATTTAAAATGTTAAAAGGTTTTACCATATACAAGAAATGGAATCTTATACATTTTTGAAAAGGTAATTTTGAGCATGTATGAATTGAATACCAGTTTCCACCTCTCCTCTTCGATTCCTTGATTTGGATCTCCATCACCAAAAACAAATGAGAAAACCTACAAGACCAGACAAGATTTTTGCATTTAGTTGCACATCAAAGTAAAAATTAAAAATGTAAAGGTAACCAACAAATCAATCAACCCTTAATCATTATTACAGATTCAATGAAGTTCATTCCATCATCAGTCCTTGTCCGACGCCTCTTGTAATAATACGGATCCCAATACCTGCATGCAACGTTAATGAAAGGTGTAAACAAAATACGAAAGAAAATAGCATCCAATATTTACCATTTAAGCTTTCATCCTCAAAAACATATGAAGCTCATTAAAAATAGGAGTTGCAATAAGCATTAGGGTTTGCAATTATGGTGACAGTTATCTTTCGCAAATGCAAAGACTATAACCATACATCTTTGGTCAATAACTAGCAAAAACAACTAAAAGTCTAGTTGGGGCCATTTTTTCACAGCTTTATTTTTTTAGACGGCTACCACACTTATGTTGGCTACTTTTGCTTTTCAAAAATTTATGTGAAAAGAAACTTTTTTTTTTAATCAGATATATTAGAATATAGTAGTTGTGAGAAAGTTATTGTCCAAATTTTCAAAAGGGGAAAAAATTATAATATCTACCTCAACTTAAAAAAACTGCTTAATCACAACAGTTCTATGGCTACTTTTATTAATAATTATAAAAGTGCCAAACGGACCCAAAATATAAAATAGCTAGAAGAGCTGCATGCTAATTCTTTTATACATACGTGATAACTAGGCGGCATAAATATTTTATCGTATTTTTTATCTTTTACTAACAATTGCTACCCTTCCAAAATTCAATAATAAAGAACTAATAATTATAGCGTTCAATTACATTGAGAAACATTTCCTATTTCAACCTATTACTTTTGAATAAACCTCAAATCTGAATGCTAATTATACATTAGCATTGCATTAATTTCATCAAATAATAATCAGGCTTGGCAATATTTAGTAGTTCCCTCAAAATTTAGTAGTGCGCTGAAGAAAATTAAGCCTCTTTCACCTGATCATGAGATGGAAACAAGCCCAAGATATGAAAGTTGCATTATGATAGTTCATACCAAGAAAAACTTCAACATCCTAGAGTTGTCAAATGAAAGTTGCAAATTTGAAAACTAAGAGCAATAGATACCATAATATAAACCTCACAAGAAAGGTCATAAGGCACTCCCAAATGCTAAAGATATTAGCTCAAACAAAGGGTTCCAATAGATCCTTTTAGTGACCCAAGAAGACAATCTTCTTCTTCTAAGGCTAATAAATCACCTAAGTGTCTCCGACAAAAACATTTTATTTTAGTACCTCCAAGATTTTGACACAAATTAATTCAATCTCAACTCAATTGACCTGTATGATGGATTAAGGACCTAAGTTCAGTCTTCTAATCACCCAGTTTATCCAAGGGCTTTAATAAGTCATTGTTTTAATATACATGTTAAAATGAGCACTACATCCAACTAAAAATTAAACCAATTTGATTACTTCAATCACCTTACCTGTAGAACGGCCAATCATTGGGCTTCCTTTGTCCCTAAGATGGTAAGTCTCACTTATAGCCTTCTAATAGATATAAGCCACAACCGAATTAATAGAGCTAGCATAAAATCAACAAGGCCTTCAAACTAATTAATGGGGACTAACGTAAGGCTGTAAGACCCATTAGTAGGCTTCTCTTATTGTCAAGATTTCAAGTCTCACTTTTGGGCCTTTTATTTGGTGGAATCCAAGCCCCGTCCAACCCCATTAATCAGGGTAACATAAAGAAATCAAGCCCACTAGGAATATGTAATTCACGAGTCTTCCAATAAATGCAAGCCTAACCAAATTAATCAAACTAGTGTGAAGCCCAAAAATAAATTAAACTAAAACTTGGATCGTATGATGGATGCAAGCCCTACCCCAACTTTAAATGGAGCCAATCACGTTAGCAAGCTCACTAATAAAATTAAATTCACCAATTAAAACCAAAATCTTGTGTCTTAGAATATGATTTATGGAGTCAAAGTAAAATTTATGAATAACCAACAGTCATGTCATGCCTTTGAGCACTTGTTAGTCATGTCTAAAACCACTGAGTCACAAGCAATCTTGATATGTGCCTTTAAACTATTAAGTGAAATTGATCTGGTTAGCTCTCTACCAGTAAATAAGTTAAAGCCAAACTCAAAAGGACGTCTTCACAGCACATTCCCACCCCGATCTACTGGAAATATTTGAGGAGAGGCAACTCATGATTATTAATCATACTCTCTAAATGTCCTAGTTTAAAACCCTCTAACATTGGTAGGCTGGGTCTAGTTGCATATTTGGGATAATAGAACTATGGGATTTTAAATGGCTTTGCCTCCATCCCCCCAACCATTCATACTTAATTGAATATAAATATAAACATTAAATTTGAGCCTAAAATTGAGTTTAAACAAAGATCTTCTAGAGTGATCTCCAATAGTAGAAAAAATTAGTTATAGGGATTTGAAGGGGTGTCAATATTTGACCCAAAGCAAATACTCGAAACAAAAATTTTTCGTTAAGATTTGGGCCGGATTTGGCTCATTTTAAGTAACTCATAAAAATAGGATAGATTTGGGTTGTATTCAATGAGAGGTTCAACTCAAACTGGAAAAAAAAAAGTCTCAACTATTTGATTCTTCTTTTTTCATGAAAAAATCATATAATTTTTTTTTTTCATGTCCAAATTGTGTAATTGTGTCTAGTTTGAGTTGGATTAGTACTAACTAAACACAATTTAAATTATTTCCCTGTAATGCCAGGTCGGGTTAAGTTTGATTTTTATGATTTTTGGGTCAATTTAGGATCAGTTCCTAACAAAAATTAACACCCTTTCTTGCATCTCTTGGCTAGCAACTTTATTACCATAGCACATGCTGAAACTTCTATCACATTTTGTATGCAGCACTATAGTTGGGCTTTAGCTTTCCTTCTAAAGACTGAAAAGTGGTTGAATGAGGGTTCGGAAAATTCGAGGCTTGTTATTTAGATCAAAGAGTGGTTACTTTTGCTATTTTATGGATGAAAATTTGTTGTTTTAATGTTTCAGGATAAATTCCAAGAAGCTACCATCTATGATCTAGTTTTAATTATAAATAAAAATTTCTAGGCATATAAATTGATCCTTGGCTTGACAAAAATTTTGATTCCTCACAAGCTTGTCTTCCCATAGGATGCAAACTCTTCGATTGTGAATCAAGCTTTGATGACAAGATGATTGAGATTTGGTCAAATTTACTATAATACATTTTTTCTTATGTGGGGTGAATACTAATCATTGCATGATTTTATTTCACTCTCAGAATTTCTTGTTAAAGATTTAAATTTTATGGAGTTCAATTTTAGATTTCACAATATCATTTGAAGTGAGTTTTATGTGTTTCCTAATTTGCATCAAAACAGATTTTTTCCAGTCTAAGGTTGGATGTAATACAAATTTTGATCTTTTGTTCACTCGATCTTAAGTTTGCATTAATAAATCTTAGTCTAAGACACTTTGCATCATACTCTCACTATGTTCATTCTTCGAGACATTGTTACTCTCAATTCATAATTTTTATGACCACTGAATATGACTCAAATTCACACATTGATGTCTGCAACTTCAGCATTTTGCCAACGATCATTAGAGATTAGGTCTAAATAACATACAGGTCCTCATTCAAAAAGATCTATTTAGCTACATTATCATCATCACCATTTTGTGCTCTAAGGTCAATTAGTTAGGCAAAAAACAGCTTCGATGCAATTATGACAATCTGACATGTCAGGATTACATGCCAATGGTCTAGCAAAATGTTTGTAGTATCCTTAGTGGGGAATCAAAATGTGCCACATCTGGCTGACACGAGAATGAGATAAAAGCGAATGCAAGACAACTAATCATTTCTTTTACTATTTTTGACAACCTTCTAAACCAGAAGGATTTCCAATTTCAATGTCCTAACATTTATCTACATCATCATGCTTACATGTCACATAGCATAGTTATGGATTTTCTTGGGAAGTTAAGATCGTCATATGAAAATGAGAGGAAGTCCAAAAAAACAGATCAGTCTCATTAAAAATGAGGAACCCATTAAATTGGATGAAATTATTGGGAACTAATATGATAGGAATCCGAGCTCCACACAATCAAAACAATAATGACGAAGAGAAAACGACGCAAAAATCAGCAAAAAAGAATGAGATTATGGGCTAATTTTATTGATATCGGCACAACAAACTAAGATACGAGTTAATCTACTATTCAAGAGGTGGATCGACTCTCCACAAACCCTTGACGCCGCTAGGAAAAACTCCTGCAAAAAACATAATCCCGTAATGTAAATAAAATAATCTAATTAATCATAAATAAATCTTTCTAATTTTCTCCCGATCTGAATTCAAATCAGTCATCTTTTCCTAAATAAACCTTCCTAATTCCCACCCAAATTTGAATTCAAATCAATTTTCTTTATCTAAATAAACCTTCCTAATTTCCTCCCAAATCTAAATTCAAATCAGCCCTCTTTCCCTAAATAAACCTCACTAATTTTGGTTTTCTACGGTAAGTAATTAAAGATTGAATTAATCTCCTTTGAGCCCCCTCTCTCTCCTAGCCCACCGCCGCCCACACTAGTGGGGGCCATAGGGCTCTTCCGCTCGCCGGCTAGACCGGCCCCCCTTGTTGGGCGGGTTGATTGGTTGGACCGGCTCAGCCGGTCCATCATAATATTCCAAAACCAAGTAGCTACATAGGAGGTTGCATGCCTAGTATTTCAGGTTGACCGCAAGGAAGATGTTTAACATTGATGGGTTTAAACTCAATGGCAATGACATCAAGAAAACTCTCATGCATGCCACTGTGGATGTTATCTTCTTCATTGACTAGTCCCATCAAGTCTTTAGTCTATTCATCAACTTCCCTCCCAAAGAAGTAGAGAGAATTATAATGAAATGAATGTATCGTGATGGTAATCATTTAGACACCCCTATCACCTCCTCTTGACACCATTTCAAATTGGCAAATACATTATTAAAAGCTGGTCCTTCCCATTGTCGTCCGATTGCACTCCTGACTGAACAAGGAAGATTAGCAATGATTGTCATTGCTATTAAGATCATAGAATAAGCCAATATAGGGGTAATTTTTAATGCTGGATAGTTCGACTTGGTTTCTTGAAAGCCTCCATGTAGATTCAATCATCAACAAAGGGTAATGGTCAAAATAATTAGCTGTGAAGTACTGTATTTGACAACCAAATTCATTTGCATGCCTACGCAATAATCTTAGATGTGGCTTTAGGTCTGTTGTCTAGTCCACTGTCGGTGACAGGTTAGTACACATAAAACCTTCGAACTCCAAGCAAGCTCTAGGATAATAAAACATCAAAGAAGGCTGAATTTCACAAAGAAAACTAGAAAAACATACATCTTAAAACTGCAAAACTTTTAAGCTAGAAAGATATAATACAAATAAATAAGTACCAAAATAAGTCTGATGGGTTGAAAAAAATGGTAACCCCAGAATCATATGATCTCCCCCCACGCCTTCCTCGATTGTCATCATCACTGCAAAAATGAAAAGGAAATGCAATAGAATGTCAAGATAAAAATGCATAGTTAACATGACACGGAAAGAAATAGAAGATGGCAACTCAAGGCTGGGGAAGCATGCAAGAAATTGACAGAAACAAAGATGTAATGTTTAATTTAATAAAAGGTGGAAACACAGAGCTTTTAGAAACACCTTCTGCTTGAAACAAGGGCAATTATTGTTGTGTATACCAGAACAATTGACATGATAAGTGCTGTCCCAAAAGAGACCCTGATTACGTACTCGCTTGCTCCCTAATGAAGGAATACAAAGGTAAAAAGCTTATCAAAATACTTGATAGCATAAATTTAAATGAGATAACGATATTTGAGATTTCCTAAAAAGAAAAGGAAGCACCTTCAATTTATCCAGCAAAGGCTCGACTTTCAGTCGAAAGGATTTGGCAGCAAGTTTTGAACGATAATCCTTTGGGAAAACATAAAGAACATCACCTTCATCTGAAACCTATGAATACATCTTGAAACAGATTTCCTTATGAGGTCAAGATCTATAAACACAGAAGAAATTAATAAGTACCTTGAAACTGAAATGTAACATGATTTTTAAGAAACCTTTTGGCTAAAAAAATCTATTTTAATGCTGAGAAAAGAATATGTAATTGAAAAAATATGTTAATGATTAATGAGTATATAACCAATCAAAAGCACCAAAAAATAGAGCAAGCATATGAAAAAAATAGAGCAAGCATATGTAAAAGCCATAATTAATTATCCAACAATTAATATATGATAGTAACTATAGGTGCATGTCATACACCCCAACACTTTTCACAAAAACCAAACAACACAATAATGCCAAAATACTATGTAGGGTACTTACTATTTAATTCAAATTTGTCCAAGCTAGAGAGAAAAGTAGAAGAGCAAGACATGTGGTTTAAAATTGCGCAATTAGAGGCGCGCCTCAAGGCGCGCCATTGCGCAATTCAACCAAAAAACGCCTCGAGGCTTACGCAATTCTGGACCTGGATGAGGCGTACGCCTCACCGAGAGCAAGACATGTGGTTTAAAATTGCGCAATTAGAGGCGCGCCTCAAGGCGCGCCATTGCGCAATTCAACCAAAAAACGCCTCGAGGCTTACGCAATTCTGGACCTGGATGAGGCGTACGCCTCACCTGGACTGAGGCGCGCCTCAGAGGCGCAATTGCGCAATTCTGGGAGAGGCGTACGCCTCACACGCTAGGTCCCCCAGGTCGCGATTCCGAGCTCCCTCACGCGGTCGGCCTTGCTTCCCGCCGCTCCTCCCGCCGGCGCCGCCCCTCTCCGGCGAAGTGGAAACTTCCGGCCACCCTCTAGGAGTACTCCACATTGGATTTTAGGTATTTTTATTAAGTTTAGGAATATATTTTGCAAGTTTAAGAGAAATTAGGGTTTAGTTTTTTTTTATTTTTTTTTTGTGTATTTATTTTTTTTTTGTGTATTTGATTTATTGCTTTAGGAGACATGGTTAGAGGTAAAGAAAAGACGAATACGTCATTGCGGAGGGACCCTTCTTGGAAGTATAGTGTACAAGTTGACATTGGCGGCGGAGAGAAAAGCTATGTCTATTTAAAGTGCAACTTTTGTGAGAAAGTTGTGAAGGGCGGAGTAACCCGCATGAAGGAGCACTTATCATGCTCTCACAAGAACGTAGCACCTTGTGCAAAAGTGCCGGACAATGTGAAGGAAGAAATTAGTGCTTACATGAGCAACAAAAATCAAACACCCTGATTCAAAACTCTCTTCTTTCAAGGAACACTAGTAGCCACACCCAAAAAAGATAGTTAATAAAAACTCTATAAGATGCATATATTATTAGAAAGCTCGACATACAAAGAAATATGTTACAAATGTCATGACAAACCACCAAGCAAAAATTAAACAATATTAAAAGGACAAACAATAGAACAGAGCATAAACATTTGTAGAAGGTGATACCAAAGACTTAGGAAAATTGGATCGGACATTAAACAAGAAAAAGTAGAGGTTCAAGATTCAATTGTTCGACTAGGGTTGGACCAAGGGTTGAACCGGATTACGAAATAAATATTAAAATTATTTAAATAAAAATAAATGATAAAATTATTTAAAATAAAATAAATGATATAATAATGATGTAATAATTATGCAATACTACAAATTTGTGATAAAAAGAAAATTAGCTCACATATAAACTTAGAAATTTAATATAAATTATTGCTAATTTAGGTTATGTATTTAAATAAAATTTACAAATATAAAGTATATATTAAATTCACATTATAAACTTGCATCTATAAATCATTCATGTTAGATCATTTATAATTAATAAAAAAAAATTAATAGTGTATACTAAAAAAATAAAAAATTTGATAGTTAAACAAGTAAATATTGAAAAATTAATTTAAAAAAATCTATTTTAAATTTTATAATGTATGTGTTGTAAACTTGATAACTTCAACTAACTTATTTAATATCATATCACTTGAGAGCTTTGTTTATATAATTTTTGTTTGCATGTTTTAGGAACTCATATGGGGCGGTGAAATCATATGGGTATGTTTTGTTAGTGCTTGATTGATAAATGATCTTTTAGAAATTTAATGCTCATCATAAAATTAAAATATGATTAATTTAAACTAATTTATTAAATTTAATTTTTTATAATAAATTTCTTAAAATTTATTTATTTAATATGTTAATCCAAAAATTTATAAAGGTTGTGCTTTATTGATTAAAATATACAAATATATGATTTTGATTCCCTTTTTCACTTTAGAATAAGTTAAAATTAACATAGGCTTTTTTAATTTAAATTTAAGATTCAATAATTTTAATTTAGTATTTAATCTTCAAGTGTTTTTTCAAATGATTCATTCAAGGTAATATCTAAGGAATACTCGGAATTCGAAGAGAATATATAATATGCGCGTACCGGAGCTCCGGCAACCATACCGGACCCACTGTTACAGACGAGAGGAATACCCGCAGCTCGAAGACCCATGGCCGGAGTACAGGATAGTACAGAATCAGAAGACAGTGATCCCCCTGTTATGGAGTTCTCGGGAACTGACGAGGAGACAAGGCCGAATTTGCTAAACCATCGGCGATGACAAAGACCGCACAGGGAAGTAGGTGAACTTCCTCGCCTTAAGATTGACATTCCTTTCTTTGATGGCAGACTCCACATTGAAGACTACCTGGAGTGGGAAGGATCGGTGGAGAACTTTTTCGGGTACATGGAGATCAACCCCGATAAATAAGTCAAATATTTAGCTTGTCGTTTGAGGGGCGGCGCGAATGGTTGGTGGATGCAGCTGCTTCAAAGTAGGCAGCATGAAGGCAAGGGCGCAATCCGCAGTTGGGCACGTATGAAGCAGCTAATGAGATGACACTTTCTTCCTACAGACTTCGAGCAGCTGCTTTACCTTCAATATCAGAATTGCAAGCAGGGCAGCGCACTGTTAGTGAATACACGGAGGAATTTTATCGGTTGAGCGCGCGAAATAACCTCTCAGAATTGGAAAATCAGCTAGTGGCGCGCTATATCGGGGGACTGAAGGATTCGCTCCAGGACAAATTGGAACTAAATTCGGTTTGGTCGGTTTCTCAGACGATCAATTTCTCCTTGAAGGCGGAAGCGCAATTGCAGAGGACGAACAGATCTCATGTCCCGAAACGAGCAGCTCAGGACGGTAATTACGGAAACAGGAAGCCTAGTACATCCAGTTCGAAAACTCCACCTGTTGTGACTCCTATGGGCGGCATTCAGCATAATGACAACAAGGGACCAGTTAAACCAAAGCCACCTCCCATAAGTGAGAATCCATACGCCAAACTGTCCACCATTAAATGTTTCAAGTGTTTACAACCAGGCCACAAGTCCAATGAGTGCCCCCTGCGCCATCAAGTTCAATTATTAGAAGCTGACGAAGACTGGGACCCGTCTGCCCCGTTGGAAGAAGTTGAAGAACAGGTGGAAGAATTACATGCCGATGAGGGAGAGCCGATCCTCTGTGTTATGGAGAAGGTACTCTTGGCACCGAGACAGCCAATGGAGACCCAACGAAACAGCCTATTCCGCACTAAATGTACAATCAACGGAAAGGTCTGCGACTTGGTGATCGATAGTGGATGTATTGAGAACATCATCTCCCGCGCTGCCGTCCAAACTCTACAGGTTAAGACCTTGAAGAATAGTAACCCATACAAAATCGGATGGGTTAAAAAAGGAGTGGAGTTTCTTGTCTCCGAGTGCTGCAAGGTTACATTTAGTATTGGCAATAGATACATTTGCCAAGTGAATTGTGCTGTCCTTGATATGGACGTATGCCATCTCATCTTGGGGAGGCCGTGGCAATTCGACAGTGGAGTCATTCATGAAGATTGGGCTAACACGTACACCATAGATTGGAAGGGAAAGAAACTCAAACTTACTCCAGTAACACAGAGTTCTCAGAAAATGAAGTCCAACAATCTGACGGCAGTTCAGATCGTTTCAGGACATGCTCTCCTACAGAGGAAGGATGAACACTATCCAGCATTGGCACTCATTGCGGTAGACGGGGTAAGCCCAAGCTCCACGCCGATCCACCCAGAAGCTCGCAAACTTATTGATATGTTTGCTGATACCATGGCCGCGGACCTGCCTCCCTCACTACCGCCTTTGCGAAATCTTCAACACCAAATCGAGTTTGTTCCAGGTGCCGTCCTCCCTAATTTACCTCGCTATCGAATGAGTCCACGCGAACATGCAATTCTACAGGAGATAGTGCAGGATCTTCTACAGAAACAGTTCATACAGCCGAGCCTAAGCCCATGTGCGGTTCCCGCATTGATCGTGCCGAAAAAGGACAGACAATGGCGGATGTGTATTGACAGTCGCGCCATCAACCGTATAACCGTGAAATATAGGTTTCCTATCCCACGAATCAATGATCTCCTTGACAGACTGCACAGTTCCGAGCTATTCTCCAAGCTGGACTTGAGGAGTGGCTATCACCAGATACGCATTCGTCCCGGAGACGAATGGAAGACGGCGTTCAAAACCATAGAGGGGTTGTTCGAATGGAAGGTTATGCCGTTTGGACTTTGTAACGCGCCCTCAACTTTTATGAGATTGATGCAAGAAGTCCTTAAGTCGTACATAGATAAATTTTGTATTGTATATTTTGATGATATACTGGTATTTAGCACTTCTCTTACAGATCATCTCGCCCACTTAAAGCTGATATTGGAGACCCTGCGGGACAATCAGCTTTTTCTTAATTTGGCCAAGTGCCAATTTGCAACGAAGCAAGTGCATTTACTGGGGTTTGTCCTCACCCCGAGCGGAATCCAGACGGCTCCACAGAAGATCACCGCCATCACGGAGTGGCCAACTCCTAAGTCCCTTTCAGAAGTGCGTAGCTTCCACGGGCTGGCGAATTACTATCGCCATTTTATTCGGGGCTTCAGCAACATTATGTCCCCCATCACGAACTGCTTGAAATCCACTTCTTTCAATTGGACAGCCGCACAGCAGAGAAGCTTTGAACGGATCAAAATTTCCCTCAGTTCCGCCCCTGTGCTAGCCTTTCCGGACTTTGAAAAACCTTTTCAAGTTGATACTGATGCTTCTGCCATAGGCATCGGAGTCGTACTCTCTCAAGACGGAAAACCCGTTGAGTACTTTAGTGAAAAACTGAGTACCGCCCGGCAGCGATGGTCTGCATACGAGCAAGAACTCTATGCTGTCATCCGAGGCTCCGAGCACTCAAGCAATGGGAGCACTACCTCTTACACAAAGATTTCGTTCTTTGTAGCGATAATCAAGCATTACAGTACATTAACAGTCAGAAAAATATCAGTAGAATGCATGCAAGATGCATCGTCTTCTTCCAGCAATTTAGTTTCGTTATTAAACACAAGGCGGGTAAAATTAACAGGGTGGCTGATGCCTTGAGTCGCCGTTCAGCATTGCTGGCCCACCTCCAAACCGAAATAACTGGGTTACAACAACTGAATGAGTTGTACGCTGGCGACAAAGACTTCGCCCAAATTTGGGAAGCATGTGTGGCCGGTCTACTGCAGCAAGATTACTCTGTGCATCAAGGTTTCCTGTTCAAAGGGAATGCACTTTGTATTCCCGACTCCTCGTGGCGTCCACAGATTATTCAAGAGCTTCATGGTGGTAGCTTATCAGCTCATTTGGGGCGGGACAAGACGCTAGAATTGATCCAGGTGCGGTTCCACTGGCCGCAGCTCAGAAGAGACGTCACTGGATTCATTGAAAAATGCTACACCTGCCAAGTTTACAAGGGAACAGCTCAAAATACATGGCTATACATGCCCTTACCTATACCGGATTCTATTTGGGAAGACATCACCATTGACTTTGTCTTGGGCCTACCTCGGACGAAACGTGGATCTGATTTGATCATGGTCGTTGTCGACCGTTTCTCTAAGATGGCGCATTTCATATCCTGTAAAAAGACGTTCGACGCTGTCCGCATTGCCGGTCTGTTCTTCAGGGAAGTTGTGAGGCTACACGGACTGCCTCGTAGTATCACTTCGGATCGTGACGTCAAATTTGTCAGCCACTTTTGGAGGGAATTGTGGAAGAGGCTCAATACCGAATTGAAGCTTAGTTCAGCTTACCACCCGCAAACTGACGGGCAGACAGAAGTGGTCAATCGGACATTAGGTAATATGTTACGCTGCCTCGTCAAGGACAATCCGAAAAGATGGGAGGAAATGCTAAGCCAAGCCGAATTTGCCTATAATTCGATGCTTAACAGATCCACTGGTATAGTCCATTTGAAGTGGTGTACACTAAATCACCCAATCAATTGGTTGACATAGCCATACTACCCAAGGATCTCCCATCTGCAGCTGGCAAAACTACAACTGAAGCTATGGAAACATTGCAGAAGGTAAAAGACAACTTACAACAACCCACTTTAAAATACAAAGTGGACGCAGACCGGCACCGACGCCACAAAGTGTTCAGTAAGGGTGAACTTGTCATGCTAAGAATGCGCCGAGAGAGATATCCACAGGGAACTTATTCTAAACTTAGCCCAAGGAAGATTGGACCTTTCCTGATCCTCCACAAAATCAATGATAATGCATATGTAATTGAACTTCCGCCTGATATTCATACAGCTTCCACTTTCAACGTAGCGGATATCTATAGTTACCACCCACCGGACAATTTACATATTTCTGAAATCTCGTCGGAGTCGAGCTTCTCAGAGCCAGGGTTGAACTGATGTGGCCATCCTTGCAGCCTTCACTCGTGGATTCCTTGCTCCACTACTACCTACAGATAACGAACTCTGACCCTCTTGCTTTTGTTAATTTTAGCAATGCTTCTTTATAATTAGTTTTATCTTTAAAATGATGTTTAGCTTTATTTAGTAGGATTAAGCACTATAGTTATATACTGTAGCTATAGAGAAGTAGAAACCAGAAGATATACATTCAGTATTTTACAGTATTTTTACTGTTCTATTGTCGTTTCTTTGTTCCTCCCGGTACTCACCGCCGGCGTCTTCGTTAATTTGACTCTTAATAGGTGACAATGGAGAAAAAGGATTTATGTGGCTGACCCCACGTAGTGGGATAAAGGCTTGATGTTATTGTTGTTGCAATGATGCAAGAATTTATAAGAAGGAATCTCAAAAGGGTATTACAAATTTTATAAATCCATGGTCAATGCTATTTGATATAAAAGGTATTAAATTATGCATTAGCATTTGGGATTAATTATAAAGAATAAATTGGGGAAAATTTTATAATCATTAATTTGAAGAATATACATCATTAGTTGCTATAGTTATCAAGTATTTTGATGTGCAGTTTATTGAATATATGATTGAGCTTAGTTTTTTAAAGCTTGGGTTTATATAGCACGGACATTAGAGGAAGAAATATTTGCCATGATCGAAATGTTGGACTACCTATTATCACCATTAAGTAGGTGAGTATTACTGTTTAAGATATAAATATATCATTCGTAGTTATGGGCTTATTCCTTGATCTTTATTTGTATGATTTAATTTTTGATAATTTATTATAGAATATGCTTTATTTATTCATAATATGTCCTTTTTATGAGCATATTTATATACTTTAAGTTACCAATTGTTCAAATTCTAGGAAGCTATGTTTATTATTTTGATTAGTGAGATCTAATGTACTATCGATAAAACCCTTTTTGATATCAATTAGTCAGATCGACAAGTCCTCTAAGTGGTGATCTTTTGAGATTATTGGATTTGCGTGGATTGGTGCTTATATTTCTGGTTTCAAGGTATCTTAATAAAATTAATTATAGATATGAGCAAATATAAAAAATGATAAATGACTTATGGGTCATTTATGAATGCATAAATATATAATACATACAAGTGAATGTCTTCGCATTTGAATTCTATGATCATTAGTTTATATATAAATTTTTTTAGCTCTAATGCATAATAAGAACAATTAAATGATTATACAACAACATCAAGCCTTTGTCCCACTAATTAAATGAATATAAATTTTGAAAATCATGTCTTTTATATATTGTCTATAATTATATAGTATAATATCCCTTTCAACTTATGCGCCTTTTATTGATGTCATTTATTTATTATTTTGCAAATGAGATCTCACATTTCCATATTTCCACCATGATAATTGTTTTCCTTGCATGAGCTAGGCCTTCCACACCAAGTGGTTGAGAACCTCACATCATAACCACCTCCATGCATTATCACTCTTTCATCAAACGATTTGCAATTACATATAGCTATCATTATTTATCTAATTGCTGGATTTTCTCTTCATCCATATCTCACTCTTTCTTTCGAAATATTGTTTTCCACCTAGGTCTTCCATCTTATCTCACACGTGACATCAACCCAAACTCTTATTGGCTATAATCTCATCAATGTCTCCACTATGCCTGAAATTTCTGCATGTCTCACATCAGGAATAAGCTTTCTTTCATCTCCTATTCACTTCCAAGCATTATAATGCTTGAAGTCAAGCCCATCTCCTCTGTTTCCTAAGTCCTTGACGATGACAGTTTACCCTCTACTCAAGCGTCTTTGATTCCCTCGTCTTCTTTACACTCCCATGTACACCAAAGGTTGTAAGCAATTGTGCAAGCTAGCAATTCTCTCTCTAAAATAAACACACCCAAATCGCATGGCTTACAACCTAGCCCTCCTCAGTCCTCCCATTATTGATCTCTTGAGAACTAAGCAGCTTAATGTTAGACCGGTCCAGCCGGTCCAGGCGGGACCGGTTCACGGGCGAAAATCACGAACAGGCGGAGAACGAGCGGCCGTCCGCCCCCGTAGAGCCGTTTAGGAAGTTTTTTTTTTTAGCGTTTTGAGAGGGAAATTTGAACGTAGGGATTGTTTAGGGAATTCCTTTTGATTTGTATGCATTAAATAGTTGATTTGGCTAGGGTTTGAGTATCTTGAATTTGGCTGAAATTTGAGATCTCTTAGATTTAGGTTTTCTTTGGGCTCTTGGCGTTGCCAGAGATTTGGGAGAGATCGATCCTCCTCTCGAATTGAGGATCAATTGTATCTTTGCTGTTTTCTTCTTCTACTAGTGGAATACAAATCTTGCTTTGAGTTTTCTTTCCAATTTCCTCTGAAATTCTGCTGTAAACTGCTGTAAACAGCAGATTTGTTGTGTTTTTCTGCTGTGGACAGCAGTTTCCATCGGATCTACTTCAGTTTTGGTGAGAAACACTTGGGAATCCAAGTGTTTCCTATCAAATTGGTATCAGAGCGTCGTTTTTGGGACCATCGGCGGCTGAAATCCTGAAATTTCAGCAAGTTTATCGTTTCCGGAAGAAGATTTTTTGGGATCCGTTAGAAGAAAAATGGCCGGAAAGAAGGTGGAAGTATTAGAAGGCGAGTTCGGACAACTGAAGACAGATCTGGAGGGAAAGTTCCTGGAAATCTCCACCAACAATGACAGGTTGGAAGGGAGGTTCGCGGCCTCACTCTCTCTAACAAGCAATAGTCATTCAATCATCATTAATCTTATTTCAACTACTGGATTGGTATTTTTGAATTTTTTTTGTTGTAGTTACAATCGGATATCAGTTTTTAACATCAATAATTTTATCCTCTCAAACTATTTAGGAAGAATTGAAAGAGTTCCAACCGTTTGGAGATTCCTCACTGAATTGGTGTATTTATTTATGCCAGAAAGAAGAATCGGCATGGCTTCAGTTATGATCCTGAAGTCAAGAATGTGTGAAAAATAATATTGTATACTATTAATGAGTTCAGTCACCAGCCTTTGCAAACAGGAGTTTTTGTATCTCAGAAATGACCAAATCAAGACCAATATGGCCTTGAGCTGGTAATATATGTCAGGCCGTTTGTAACAAATTTGTTAATTTCACATATTTTCCATGTGTATATTAAGCCAACGTTGTAATCAATCAGTTTTATAATATCAAACTAATAGCAGAGTAGGGAAAGTGAACAGTAGTTGGTTGACCTACAAGGTTTTCTGAACTGTATAGTTAAGCAATTGTAACAAAAGATTGTTACAAGTTTGCAGGTAATTGTTCATTCGCAAATTACAGTTCTGCAATCACCTGACATTTTTTTTCCTTGTTTATGAATTAAATTGGTTCTTCATAATTTATGTGCTTGTTTTAGTTCTTGTATCCTAAATTAAGAAATATTTTTTTCAGTTGATTAAAAATTAGAAATTTATATTGGAGACTTGAAATGATAATTTTCCTATGAGGAGGAAGCTTCAATCAACAAAATAATGCTTCAAAGAACAGTGGTTGATGTCTTTCTTACATGTGAGTGTATGATTTA